AACTTCTCTTTCAATTCCTCCCACTTCCTACAGACAAAGGGGGTAGCCATGGGTACCCGCATGGGCCCAAGCTACGCCTGCCTCTTTGTAGGTTACGTGGAACAATCCCTCTTCCGTACCTACACCGGCCCTAAACCCCACCTCTTCCTCCGTTACATTGATGACTGTATCGGCGCCGCCTCGTGCTCCCACGAGGAGCTCGAACAGTTCATACACTTCACTAACACCTTCCACCCCAACCTTAAGTTTACCTGGACCATCTCTAACACCTCTCTCCCCTTCCTGGACCTCTCTGTCTCCATATCGGGCAACCACCTAGAAACCGATATTCATTTCAAGCCCACCGACTCCCACAGCTACCTAGAATACTCCTCCTCCCACCCACCTTCCTGCAAAAATGCTATCCCCTATTCCCAATTCCTTCGCCTCCGCCGCATCTGCTCCCAGGATGAGGCATTCCACTCCCGTACATCTCAGTTGTCCTCGTTTTTCAAGGACCGTAACTTCCCCTCCTCGGTGGTCGAGAACGCCCTCAACCGTGTCTCCCACATCTCCCGCACCTCATCCCTCACACCCCGTCCACGCAATAAAAACCAAAAAAGAATCCCCCTCGTCCTCACGTACCACCCCACCAACCTCCGGATCCAACGCATCATCCTCCGACACTTCCGCCATCTGCAATCCGACCCCACCACCAAAGACATCTTTCCCTCCCCACCCTTATCTGCTTTCCGGAGGGACAACTCTCTCCGTGACTCCCTTGTCCGCTCCACACTCCCCTCCAGCTCCACCACACCCGGCACTTTTCCCTGCAACCGCAGGAAGTGCTACACCTGCCCCCATACCTCCTCCCTCACCCCCATCCCAGGCCCCAAGAAGACTTTCCACATCAAGCAGATGTTCACCTGCACATCTGCCAATGTGGTATACTGCATCCGCTGTACCCGGTGTGGCTTCCTCTACATCGGGGAAACCAAGCGGAGACTCGGGGACCGCTTTGCAGAACACTTACGCTCGGTTCGCAACAAACAACTGCACCTCCCAGTCGCGAACCATTTCAACTCCCCCTCCCATTCCTCAGACGACATGTCCATCCTGGGCCTCCTGCAGTGCCACAACGATGCCACCCGAAGGTTGCAGGAACAGCAACTCATATTCCGCTTGGGAACCCTGCAGCCCAATGGTATCAATGTGGATTTCACAAGTTTCAAAATCTCCCCTCCCCCCACCGCATCCCAAAACCAGTCCAACTCGTCCCTGCCTCCCTAACCTGTTCTTCCTCCCACCTATCCCCTCCTCCCACCTCAAGCCGCACCTCCATCTCCTACCGACCAACCTCATCCCGCCCCCTTGACCTGTCCGTCCTCCCTGGACTGACCTATCCCCTTCCTAACTCCCTACCTACACTCACCTTTCCTGGCCCCATCCCCGCCTCTTCGACCTGTTTGTTTCTTCTCCACCTATCCTCTCCTCCATCCCTCTTCTATCCGCCTCCCACTCTCTCCCTATTTATTTCAAAACCCCCTTCCCCTCCCCCTTTTCTGATGAAGGGTCTAGGCCCGAAACGTCAGCCTCTCTGCTCCTATGATGCTGCTTGGCCTGCTGTGTTCATCCAGCCTTGCACCTTGTTGTCTCGGATTCTCCAGCATCTGCAGTTCCTACTATCGGTGATCTTATTTACTGCTTTTACAGTATTACTGTGTACAACGTAACTGCAGTCTTTTAAAAAAAAACCTACTTCTCTTCTGGGATGTGGTGGGACCTGTAATAATGATGGTTTATTTTTTGTTGTTTGATCAGCATTTTTCTTTTTGCCTCGAAGCTGACTTTTGGTTTTAAGCATGGCACTGTCGCTTCAGGATGGTGGACCTAATTGACCAGGTCACATTCTGAATTAGCAAAGATTTTAGAATTGGTTGTATTGGACCTGTGTATTTCTTTAAAAAAGGCAGACTGGATTTGTCTAGTTGGGGAAGCATTTTGCATGTTGTGCAAACCATTGATAAGTTGTAGAGTTTGCAACTCTTTATAGCTGAAAACTGTAGCACAGAAAATTTTCAGCCTTCGAAAGAGCTTGCGCAAGCTCAGAGCAATGCAGTTACTTTCCCAATCTTGCACCATATTCCTGATGTCATTTCTCTTTCAAGTATTTCAGTGACTGTTAAGGGCTTATTAGGGTTAATGCTGAGAAGGTGTTTCCCCTCATGGAAGAGTCCAGGACCAGAAGGCGTAGTCTCAGAATTAAGGGGTGCCAATTTAAGACTGACGTGAGGAGGAGTTTCTCCTCTGAGGATTGAGTGTCTTTGGAACTCCTTGTCACAGAGCTGTGGGGGCAGAATCCTTGTATATATTTAAGCTTAATCAGAAGGGGAAACAAGGGTTACAAGAAAAGGGCAAGAATGTCAGATCAGCCATGATCCTGTTGAATGACAGAGCATGTTTGAGGGGCTGGACGGCCACCTTCTCCTATTTCTTATGGTCTTATTTATCCGAATCCTCTTTGAGAGATTGCTTGTGAATCTGTATGCAATTCCTGTGCATTCCAAAACCTGGCAACTTGTCCAAACAATACAATCCCTTCTGTGACTTTCAGTTATTTTGCATTCAGTTTAAATCTGTACCTTCTGATTGTTGACCTTTGAGTCATTTCATCGTTTTCCTTCTCTAAATCCTTAATGAATTTGAGCACCTCTGTCAAATCTCCCCGTTTACCTTCTCTGCTGTTAAGGCAAAAGGCACTAGTTCTTTGTGAAATGAATAAAATGCTGAGGGGACTGGATATGCTGATGTTCCTCCTGTGCTGTAAATTTATAGCCAGGGAACATGGTTCAAGAGTAAAACATCTCACTTAAGATGGATATGAGGAGATGGTTGTTTTGTTTTTTTCTCCCCCCCACTGAGTGCCATTTACTTCTGGAATTCCCTTCCCGTAAAATAGTGGAGACTAGGTTGCTGAATTTATTCAAGACTGGGCTAGAAAGATTATTGATAGACAAAGGGAGCCCAGGATTATGGAGTTGAGGCCATAGTATTAGACCATAAGATATAGCAGCAGACTTAGGCCATTCCATCCTGGCTGACATGTTTCTCGACCCCATTCTCCCTCCTTCCCCCTGTAACCCTTAATGGCACCTCATGGTGTAGGCAGCAGCCTAACTTGTTGGAAAGCTAATTTTGTAAAAAAACACTCTTTAGACTGTACAATGTACAGCTACTCAGGTCTAAGCAGTTTGTTTTCTGGCTGTTCCATAGCATGTCATTTACCAGTGCAGTAACAGCAGCAGTTACCTCCAGTCAAGATGTCTTTCTTTTACCAGCCAGGAGGGGGTGGTGATGTTCCAGATTTGTCTGCAGTGAGTCTGCATTTGACTCCGGCTGCTCCTCAGTGTGGAACTCTGAACTGCCCTGGTCTTCTCTTGTTTGTACACCCAAACTGTGTGTCACTTTATTACATTGCAGTTTAGTTTGTCTTTGCTTCACCAAAATCTTCGATTAGGTTCAAAAGCAGACGTTGCTGGAAAAGCTCAGCAGGTTTATCAGCATCTGTGAAGAAAAAAATCGGAGTTAACATTTCGTGTCTGGTGACCATTCCTCAGAACTGATAGTAGCTAGGAAGACATTGGTTTATATGCAGAAAAAGGGAGGGGAATGGGCTATGGAGTAAATGATAGAGCCCAAAGAGAGAGAAGAGCAGTTAGATAGACAAGGAGTTAATAACGATCTGGCTAGGAGGGGGAGGAGCTGTTAATGGGGACTATTAGTGACTAACAATAGGTAGTATGTAATGGCAGGCTATGTAATAAGGCCTAGTGTTTGGGGTAGGGGGCTAGGGCATGGGACAGTTTAGGCCCTAAAATAATTGAACTCGATATTGAGTCCAGAGGGCTGCAGGGTCCCCAAGCAGAAAATGAGGTGGTGTTCTTCCAGCTTGTGTTGAGTTTCGCTGGAACACTGCAGCAAGCCAGAGAGAGAGATGTTGGCCAGGATGGTGTGTTAAAGCGGCAAGCAGCCGGAAGCTCGGTCTTTTTTGCAAACAGAACCTAGATATTCTGTGAAGCGGTCACCCAGTCTACGCTTCGTTTCCCCAACGTAGAGGAGACCACATTGTGAGCAGTGAAGGCAGCAGACTAGATTCTGGGAAGTACAGTTGAAGTGTTGCTTCACCTGGAAGGTATGTTTGGGCCCTTGGATACTGGGGAGGGAGGAGGTAAATAGGCAGCTGTTCCACCTTTGCTGGTTGCAGGGTAAGGTGTTGGGGGTGAAGGAAGAGTGGACCAAGGTGTCCCTGAAGAAATGGTCCCTGCGGAAGGAGGACAAGGAAGGGTGGGGGAACATGTGTTTGGTGGAGGTGGCAGAAATGGCGTCTGATCTTCTGGATGTGGATGCTGGTGGGATGGTAGGTAAGGACAAGGGGAACCCTATCACTGCGGGAGGGAAGATAAGGGGTGACGGTGGAAGTGTGGGAGATGGATCAGACCCGGTTGAGGGCCCTGTCGACAATGGTGCTGGGGAGTCCTCGGTTCAGGATGAAGGTGGACATTTCAGAGGCTCCCTTGTCGAAGTTGGCCACGTATGAATATATGCGACAGAGACGGAGCAACTGAGAGAATGGAATGGAGCCTTTACAGGAAGCAGGGTGTGAGGATGTAGAGTCGATTAGGTTGCTTGATTTTTTTTTTAAACATGCAAAAGTACATACAAATTTACAAACTAGGAGCAAGAGTAGAGTCTGCTCTGCCATGTAATAAGATTGTGTTTGATGTGATCGTTCCACAGTCCTGTCCAAACTAATCATTCATTACTAGCTTATCAAGAATGTACCTACCTCTGGCTTACAGATAGTAAAGACTCTGCCTCCACCATCTTTCAAAAAGGATCTCCAATCACTCACTGGCCTTAGTGAGAATTTCTTTCCCTCGATCTCTGCCTTGAATGTGTAAAACAAATCTCACCTCATCTCCCCTCTGATTCTATCACCGCATTGGTTTAATGGGAATTCTGAAGTCACCCTTTAAGACTGAGACAGTAAAAGTATGTATTGGAGGGAAAGTGCATTCGACTACAACTTGAACATGATTCCATAGTGGATCTGTAACTGGATTAATCACATGAAAGAAAAATCCTATTGTGGCAGCTAGGGTATTTGAATTTAATGTAATAAAACTGAAACAAAAATCCAATCCTGATTACGATTGTGAAACGACTGCATTCTCAGTGAGCGCCCCACTCTGTAATCACTGAACTGTGTTGGCTACATTTAGTGTGCAGTGTTGTAAAAAAGAAGTCTCTCCAACATCAGAAGATGATGCTGCTTGTTAGTGATGAAAGCACAAAGTAGACCAAGAAACAAGTAGATCTGACAGGAGGGATCACTGGCATCTCCAATAAAACCAGCATAACCTGACAGGGGGCAGCATTTGTGCCTTTAACCCCACAACAAACCAGACTGAACAGTCGGGACTCTTTGCTCCTAAAAAGAAGTAAATGTTGAGTGATGATCCGAGAGGAGTCTTTAAGGGCGTGCCCTTGTATAAAAGATACCGGACAGAGAGAGAGTCGTATTAAAAGTAAAGAGATATGTAGCAGTTATCGTAGAAAAATGTATTCTATGTTGAAGCATTTTTCTTTGAAAGTTTTTTCTTTATTCTTGGGATGAGTGTGTCATTGGCTGCCAGCATTTGTTGCCCATACCACAGTTCCTTTGAACCGCTGCCCATGCACTATTGTCCAGTAGGGATAATACTACTGCGGTGAACCAGAAGTTAATCTATAATCAGAAATAACCAATGAATAGATGCAACCGTCTCTAGTTCTAATAATGCTTGGCTTACTTTTCTTTCATGTAGTTGAGCAATGAAGGGCGGCAGGAGGCTGATGAACCCTAGCATGGAGCGGTTGTGCAGAACTGTTGTTCCTGCATGATCAATACTTCGCAGTGCCTGTGTGTCACTTTCCTTTGAACTCAACCTCCTGGCATCCCATCCTGTGTAGGACATCTGTAAATTATTTTTCCACAATTTCAATTATTGTGAAAATAACAATTTGTTTTATTAAACACAGGGCATGCTTGAGAAAGTATGGTGGTGTGTTTGCTCTTTGAAGCTGAAACATCATTTGGGTTTAGTTCCTGAATCGTGCACTTGATCTCCCATTCTTTAATCAAGTGCAAATTCACACTTAGCAAAGTGTCAGTGGTGTCACCTTTTCCTGCAGCGACTTTGACATTTTGGAGAGGTGACCATAATCAGGCGAGAATCCCATGACAATTGATGGAACTGGCAGGTTAGCTTAATGTTGCTCCTCAGTCTTTGACTGAACGAGACTGGGAGGAAATGCCAGAATTCCCATGATGAATTATTGTGGCAGTAGATCACTGCCACATTTTGCACATGTATGGTTCCAGATGAGATTGAAGGACTGGAACTTGTAGAATTCAGTGGCCTACAGTACGCAATACCCAACTAAATGATTTGGAATTCTTTCAAATAGCAGAACTCTCAAACCATCAGTTCATTAGACTTGTATCCATGGACAGAGATTGATGCAGATTTGTTTAACATTTTATTGATGTGCCTTCCCACCTTTTTAATTTTCAGAACACAGAATTGAAATTGGGCTCTGGTAATCGTAAAGCAGTGTGTGTGATGGTCTTTCTGCTCTTCGTTGCATTCACTTTTGGACCTGCCAGGTGAGAATTTGTTTTTTGGTCGCCTTATCTCAGGAAGGATGTTCCAGCTATGGCGGGAGAACGGCAAAGCTTTGCCGGACTGATCTTTTGGATAACAGGACTGACGTGTGAAGAGAGACTAGATCGATTTGGATTATATTCACTAGAGTTGGAATTTTTTTTCAAGAAGAGTTAGGTATAGTTGTTAGACTAATTCAAGAGTATGGGGAGGAAACAGGAACAGGGTATTGAGTTGGATGGTCAGCCATGATCCTACTGAATGGCAAAGGAGTCTCGAAGGGCCGAATAGCCTACTTGTCTTTTCTGTGTTTCTGTGTCGCCTCATTGGAGAGAGAAGTGGTGAGGTGTTCTTATGGTGATACCTTTCTCAAGCTTACATTTTCTTTAGTTTCTGATTTTAGGAGCTGAGGGTGAGCTGGACTCCTGGTCTAGCATTTCTTCCATTCAAAAATTCTCATCCTCTTTTTCAAATCCTGTCATACCCTTGCTTCCTTTGTAACTCTATAAACTCTGCACATTTACATCCCTGCAGTTCAAAGCAACCTGCTTGATCAGCACCCTGTCCACCATCTTAAGTGTTCATTGCCTCCCCACCAATGATGCAATGTAGCAGCCATGTATTGTGCAGAATACAGAGCTGCAGCAAGGCTCCTCTAACAGCACCTTCCAAGCCTGCAACCTCTTCCTCCTAAAAGACAAGGGCAGCAGATCAGCCTCTACCTGCAAGTTCTCCAAACCACGTACCTTCTTCACGAGGAGGTATATTGTCTTTCTTCATTGTTGCTGGGTTAGAACCCAGGAACACCTTTCCAGACAGCAATGTGGGTGTACTTGCAGCCCATGACTTCAAGGAAGCAGCTCATTGCTACTATCTAATTTCCTTTAGGAAAGTAAAGCTGCCACCTTACCCATTTTGGCCTCCAGTCCTGCAGCAATGTGGTTGACTCTTAACTACCCTGTAACATGGCCTGGCAAATCAGTTGTTCAAAGGGAATAAGGGAGGGACAGCAAATGCTAGTACTGCCAGTGACGTCCATATCCCATGAAGGAAAAAACAAATGGTATTGAGGCTGGGCACAATTGAATCCTGCAGAGTGGCTTACTCTAACTTGACATAAGTTTAAAGTCTACTGATTCTCTCTGTTTGGTTAGTAACAGTTGAACGGGGATTGATTTGGATAATGGACCACATCATGCCCTAATTTGGGATGCTGACTTGAATTGGTGCCAGATGCTCATTGATCTACCACTGACAAGCCCTACATGATTTTAGTTGCTTCACTGGGAGGGAAATTATTCCCCACTAACATGTCATCCTGTGTATAGAAATATATACAGTTGAAGTGCTGGCGAAGAAATGAAAAAATTGCCATCTTGTTTGCTTTCAGGATTTTGGTTGTTGCATGATTTCTGCACATCTTTTTTGAATCCCACCATGATGTTTTCCCCCCCTACCTGCATTGTGGCTGAGGGCAGATTGCAGGACAAACAGTCAGAGGTGCCTTATAGTTAGTTTTGCCTTGCAAAACTTTTTCAATTTCCTGGGTCACTCATGCAATTTGTGAAATGGGGATTAAGTATAGTGTGAGTGAAGTGGGTGAAGATCAGTTTGCATTTAAGTCAAGTGCTGAAGAGAACCACCTCTTTCACATACAATCCTTTTGTGCCCTTCTATCTAGCAACCACTGCCTTTTTTTTTTTGTTTTCGTCTTCAGGTTTCCAAAAGGCTTGTGCATAATTGTCAGTTCAGGCCTAGCGCAGTCTTGTGGTTTGTCAATGATGCAATCCATAGTCTCCGAGTTGAAGCACATCCCCTCACGATCCTCAAGCTTTAAGGCTCTTGTTGAAAGTAAATGGCGCTCAGAATTGGGACAGTGGTTCCTCAGCACCTTTTAAAGTGTTCTACGGTCAGTGAGAGCTTTCCCTGTGAAGTGGAGTCATTGTTGCAATATAAACAATTGGCTGCATAGAACAGCACTGGGAATTTGGCTGGCTACATTTTGTGCTCAGGTTTCTGGAGTGAGTTTAAAACCCATAACCTGTTGAAACAGAAGCGAAAGTGCTGTCCACTGATTGGAGGGTCAGCTGTGAAAGATTGGCCCATCTCTGGGTACCTCTCTTCTGAACTTCAAAACTGCTTTGGCCGTCCAGAGGGAACCCCACTGAAGTCATGACTATCCAACCTCAGACTAACTCACCGTAAAATACCAAGTACGTTATTTCTGGCACCACAGCCTGAAAACAGTGCCTTGCGCTGCTTACAGCTTCAGGGAAGCAGCTACCTTTGCGACATTTCCAAAAGTATGAAAGCAATAAAGTGCAAGTGGTTGTCACATCAGGAATTGTTTCATTTCGATCTCTTGACCTGAAAGGCTAAACTTGACTTTGAAACATCACCTGCCAATCATCCATCTGTCCTTTTCTTATCCCCTGCCACTCAACTCAAGATTTGCTGTCCTAGTTTAAATCCTGTCAGGTGGCAATATGAAGATTAGCCACAGTGTGATTGTAGATGTGCAACCAACAGCAGTCACTCATAGACTCAAAGTTAAGACACTTTCATGGGGGGAGAAATTATTCCCCTTTAACATGTCACCCTGTGTAATGAAAAGTACACTGTAGGAATGCTGACGAAGAAATGAAAAGTTACCATCTTGTTTGCCTTCCAGAAGTTTGGTCATTGCATGATTTCTACACACATGAATCCCTCTATGATGTTACACCACTCCCCCCATCTCTAATCTCGCAGTCTTGGAACCGTCCAAATTCACTGCATTCCTCCAGTTCGGCTGTGTCAATCTTGCATATCACCAGTCTTATTCACTCCAACAGTGGTGGCTGTGTCTTCAATGACCCCGGTTATAAGCTCTGAATTTCCCTCCCTCCATCTCTCTGGATGTTTACTGCTCTTTCTTTCGGTGGGTGTGCTACTTGGAAAAAATTACTACTTTCAATATTTGCCCTAATATGGCATGATGTCAGGTTGTGTTTTTTTGAAATTTGCTCCTTTGAAGTGCCTTGAGGCCTTTTACTGCATTAAAGATGAGGTAATTACAACTTGTTACAGCAGTAATGAAGCTGTTGACAGATGTATCTGAGAGTCTATGACAGAGCTCCTCATGGAATGAGGGAGACCTCCACTGACGGAGAGCTTTCTCTTGTTCATTCTAATCACGGTGTCATGTATCAAATTACTGCTATACTCTCCAAAGATGTTACTTTTGAACCGGTGAAGCAAGTAACTTTGCAGAAATGCTCTGGATACATCAAGAAGGAATTGAAAAATGAAATCATATTGTAATCATTTGCCCTGTTGCTATAATGAAAGTAGAAGCTTGAGCAGCAGTAAACTGACTGTGAACTGTGTCACACCTCACTCCCAAATTCATCTCATTTTGGGTTTTATGTAGATTAGTGGGTGTCACACTCTGCATCGAATGCTGTAAGTCCATCTTAATATTTGACCACAATATTTTGACTGACTCTCTTGTGCTGCGGAGTACTACATTGTTCAAGGGACCATCTTTCCAATACTACTTTTTTTTTGAAAGGACTTGACTCTACAGCACCTTTTTATGACCAGTGAATTTTCTACATGCTTTCTGGCCAATTAAGTATTTATGAAGAATAGTCACTGTGGTAATGTGGGAAACACAGCGACCAACTTGTACATGAAGCATGAAACAGAGGCCCTCTGCCTCTTTGACAGAGTGTAAAAGAGACCAGAGCTACTATTTGAAGAGGAATAGTGACATTTTCCCCACTGTCCTCAACAGCATTAATCCCTCAACTATAATATCAGTTGAACAAGCAACAAATCACATTTGTCAAATTAAAGCAAAGTACTATGCTTTCTAGACATCTAAAGTAAAAACCAAGTGCTGGAGAAGCTTGGGTCTGACAGCAGCTGTGGAAAGACTAACAGTTAACGTTTCAAGTTGACTAAATTCTTTGGAACTGAAGAGGGCTGCAGAAGTAATAGGTTTTATACTTAGAGAAATTGGCAGAAGACCAAAGTGGAACAGATAGTAATGGTGCCTCAGAACAAAAGGCAAAGGGAGTGCCAGCAGGGAAAATTTCACTGCTCCTTCCCAATAATGGCTTTGGTCTCTCTCTCTCCCGTACACGTTTGAGAGGGTAAAGAGGCCACTGTTTGATGTTTCGTACACAAATTGGCTGCTGTGTTTCCTACATTATCACAGTGATTATTCTTCCAAAGCACTTTATCAGCCAGGAAGTGTGTAGAAAGTTCATCGATAAGAAAAAATTAATTAAGAAGCGATATAGTTGAAGATTAGGAGGTAATAGCAGAAATCCCATCAGCTCGCATTTTTTATGTGCAGTTGATGTTTTAACACCTTTTTCATGTGCAACCGATGTTGTAACATCAAAAGTGATTATCAACTATGTAGTCATTTGAGGTATCTCATGGTGGCAAAAAACCAATTTAGTAATGCAGTTGTCTGTTAACACAAATAACGAAGTTGGCACCAATAAAATGCATATTTGCCTCGAGAGAGGAAGGCGATTTAGTATGTGAAACGGTGAGGTGTTAAAATAGTGTTAGTTGGCCATGAGTTTGAGGAATGTTGTGACAGAATATGGGGAGCTCCGGTGATTAAAAAATCTGTTGGTTCGAATCAAACTATTTGAAGAAGTTGAATTTGTGTTGCACACTTCATAACTCCAGCATTCCAAAACACTTCATAATGAACGAAGTACTTCCAAAATATAGTCACTGGCTCAGTATGAGAAACCCAGCTGCCAATATTTGCACTACAGTGTTTCCAAATAGCATCTCATTTGACTTTTGTTTCAGATGACTAGGGATGAATTTTGTCCAGGACACTGGTGACACTTCTGCTCTTTGAATTCTCACTGTGGAGCCCTTTTGCAGCCATCTGAGAGGCTTTTCTTTTCATATCTTAAAGTATTGATGTTTGAATGTCAAATGTTGAAAGTAGTAATTTTTTTCAAGTAGCACACGCCCAGAAAGAAAGAGCAGTAAATATCCAGAGAGGTGGAGGGAGGGAATTTCGGAGCTTACGGCCAAGGTAACTGAAGACACATCCACCACTGTTGGAGTGAATAAAACTGGTGATAGGCTGTCACGTTTTGTCCTTGCCCTTTGAGAAAGTAGTGCTGAGCCACCACCTTGAATTGCTGCAATCTATATGGTGCAGGTACATGCACAGTACCAGTAGGAGGGCAATTCCAGGGACCTGGCTGTTTCTTCATTGTCACTGGTTCCATGCAGTTCCAAGACATGGATAATGTGATTTGGAGGGGACTTTCTGAGGACTTGTTTGCATGTGTATGCTGCCTTTGATCATCTGGGCAGTTAAATCTGCAGGTTTGGAGCATGTTGATGAAACCTTGCTTTGTTGCTGCAGTGTATCTTTTGGATAAAGCATGCTGAAGCTCGAGAGGTGACACCTCTGATAGTGTAGCCCTTGGAATGTCAGCCTAGATTATGGGCTCTTAAGTGGAGCTTAAACCCAGAACCTTGTGATTCAGAGATATCGGTACTATCCATGGAGCCAACCCATTCAACACAGTAAGACATCTAATGGATGAAGACAGCAAAATACTGACCCATTTCAAAGTGAGAATTTTTTTAAACTGAAACCTTGAAGTGCTCAGTAAATCAGAGTTAAAAGTTTCAGGTCCTTAACTTTATTGTTTAGATTTTATAAAGCTCTTCTGAAAAGGGAGTACGGGTGGGACAGGTTTTTTGGTCAGTGCCATTTCTCCTGGTCCAATTAAAATAGGCAAGCTTGAAATCAGGGTTAGAAGTGAGCCCTTATTTCTCATCTAATTGGGTGTTAATCCACTCCCTTCTCAGTGAAAATGTTTTTAGACGGCTGGTGCTGTCAAATTGCATTGCATGTATTTAATGAACACCTGTCCATGAGCTAGATCTGATTTTTGATCAGCAATGTTTGCGGTTTTTGGATGAAATGGAACGTTGCTTTATAATTGCAGGCCTCTGTTTCACTGACTAATTTTTGCATTGAGAATAAAAGGCTCACTTGCTGAGCGTTCCAACCTCTAATTTTAGAGTCTGCTAAATGTGATCGTTAAATAACAAAACTCACTGGCTGTGCAGATGTTGTTGTTACAGGGATTGAGCTTATGTTACACTGTCGGCTTTAAATCAATAACTGTGCAGGTGCAGTTCATGGGTTGCGTTTCCTAGTTAATGAGTTTAACAGTCTTCACAAGCAAATCCTCCTGTTTAACCAGAGCTACATAGAACATTACAAAAGGGGGAAGAGCTTCATCTGTTAAATGCTATCTGCAAGATAAATCATTTACAGAAAGTTAACTATATGAATTGTAGGCACTGGCTAACTAATACAGCAGCCAATTTCTGCACATCAAGCTTCCTCAGACAGCAGTTTATTAGTGACCTCCTTGTTTTCCTCTCTTGCACCTCCCGTGACCCAAATGCTGTTGATTGAACAATAAATATTGTCCAAAACGATGATTTTAGCTCGCCTTGTTCTTCATAATAGTGAGTGTAGAATCTTTTAAGTCTACTTGGGGAAGGCCACCTCTGATTAGCATCTCAACTGAATAACCACTGTCTTGATTGTAGCATTGATTCAGCACTGTTGTGGGAACATCAGTTTGGATTTTGTACTGAGACCTCATGGGCTGTTGAAGCAAGATCTTCGGTTTCATGTGAGAGAGTACTGTGCAGTGTATCACAACTCAGTCTTCCACTGTTTAGATTTCTGATGGCTGTTTTCCACTCCTGTCTATTCCTTCTCCCTTTCCCTGCTCATGCCAGTATAACAGAGAAGAAGCCAGATCTCTTCCAGAAACCAGAAGACAGTACGTATGTCAAGAGGCACCTACTGGCTTTCAAAGAGGAACCAGGTACAGAGAGCATGACAGAGGAAGCGACGAAAGATTACACTCAGAGGGACAAATTCAGGTAACAAGAAAATTAAAGGAGAAATTTTCAGTCTGCTCACAAAAATGCTGCCTCGAATTAAATGTCCCAGAATAACCCACACTGCATTTGTGCTTTGGAGATACTATCGCAAATTCGTTTCTTGTACATCTTGACCTTGCAAAGGTGTACTGGTCTGCTCACCATCATGTTTACTTATTTAGAGGAGTAACTTATGTTGAATGCTGATTTAAATTGACCACGAAAGGTGTAATTTGGAAGAAAAGCCTCAAAGACTGCAATTAACAGTAGATTCAAGCAAAGGCAGATCATTGATTTTCTTTCAGATATGTTAAGGAAGAAGAGCTTCCGACCACACATCATTATCATTGCCATTGCCAAGACCACCTGAAAACACTTCCATCACATCACCCTGTCTCCGCTTATCTGCTGCTGAACCCCCACCCTCCCATGCCTTCATTACCTCCGAAGGTTCTAACACAATCCTTGCTGGATTTTCATCTGTAAACTTAGCCAAAATTCTGCTGCCCAGGTCCTAGCTTGCATCAAGTCCCCATTTCCCTGTTAATCCCGTCTCAGCCACTGACATTGGCTACTGATCAAGCAATGCCTTGACATCAACATTCCCGTCCTTGCTTTTAATTCCATCCAAGGCCTCAAACTCCATTTCTCCAACCCCTCAAGCCTTAGCGATTTCCGCACCCCTCCAATTCCTACCTCCCGAGCACTCCTCTCTCAGTGGCCGTGACCTCAGCTTCATGGCCTCCAACTCTAGAATTCACTTACTAAACCCTTCTGTCTGCCTTTAAGGCACTATTTAAAACTTAAATCTTTCACTAAGCTTTAGCTTGTCTGTCCTAATAACTCTTTATGTTGCTCGGTGTCTAATTTTGTTTAGAAAGCGAACTTTTGAAGTGTTCTTTTTCCTGTATGTTGAGGCATTTTATAAACGCAAGTTGTTTAGCTAGTTGTTGCATCTGACCTGGACTATTTGCGCATCGTTGACATGGCCAGCATTTGTTGTCAATCCCTAATTCCCCTTGAACTGAGTGGCTTGCTAGGCCATTTCAGAGAGCACTCGAGTCAACCACATTGTTTGGTTCTGGAGTCTATAGGTCAGACCAGGCGAGCATGGCAGATTTCGGTCCATGGAGGAGATGAATGAACCAAGTGGGTTTTTTTTTACAATAATGAATGATAGTTTCATGGTCACCTTTACCGAGACTAGCTTTATGTCGGGTTATCTTGATTAATTGATTTTAAATTCCACCAGATGCCATGGCGGGATGTTGGCACTTAGGCTGTATCCAAAAGTAACTTTCTTTTCACAGCTGATTCATTTATTGTGTTTCCAGCGTTTTCTGTTACAGTTACAGGTTTCTTCTTGATGTTCAGCTACTAATGGAGGGGATAGTTCATGTCCCTTTATTGTACATGCTATTGTGTTTGAGCATTAAGGGATGTTTTCAACACTTGAGTCATGGAGTGCAGCAGGAGGCTATTCAGACATTTGTACATCTGCCACTTTGAAAGAGCTATCCAGATTTTTCCACTCCCCTGTTTTCATCCGTTCAAGCATTTTTCCAGTTTCACTTTGAAAGTTAACCAATCACCCTTTCAGTCAATGCATTCCAGATTAAAGTGGTGGTGAGCAGCCATCTTGAGCAGCTGCTGTCCATGTTTTGTACATACACCCACAGTGCTATGGAGGAGGAAATTCCAGGACTTTGACCCAGTGACAGTGATGGAGTATAGTTCCACAGGAAGATGGTGTGTGACATGAAGAGGAACCTGCAGGTGGTGATGAGCCCGTGTGCTTACCTATGTGTCTCTTGTCGAGTCCTTGTAGGTGATAAAGATCATGGGTACTGTTGAGGGAGCTTTGATTTGCTGCAGTGCAACTTGTAGATGATACACACACAGCCACTGTGCATCATTGATGGAGGAAATGAATGTCGGTAGTGGACAGGGTGCCGATCAAGTTGGCTGGTTTCTCCTGGATTGTGTCGAGCTGCTTATGGCGTCTGAGCCAGACTCATGGTTTTCCTGTGCACTTAAGTCTTGTCCCCTGGAGATAGGGAGTCAACGGTGAGCTGTCTACCACGGAATTTCCAGCCTGTGACCTGCATTAGTGGTAAAGATGAAGTCACCATAGTCCTACTGACCATGGGTTGCTCTCTCTTTACAGAGAGTTGACTGTTGGTGACTTTAACCTGAGCGCTACCAGGTCACAGGTGAGGGGAAAGGTGAAAAGGAGGTTCTTTGATGGTAACCCCAGCCTACATTTTTTCCATCACTCTGCATTGCAAAGCAGCTGTCCAGCCAACTGAGATAATGAAGTTTATATGTCTGCTCTAGTTACATTTCTGGACGTCGATAGTGGAGGATTCAGCAATGGTAATGCCATCGAATATCATGGGGGATGGTTAGATTCTATCTTGTTGAAGATGATTATTGTCTGGCATTTGTGCAGCTAAGTGTATTTACCATTTATCCATAATGTGGAGGTGCCGGTGTTGGACTGGGGTGGGCAAAGTTGGAAATCACACGACACCAGGTTACAGTCTAACAGGTTTATTTGAAAACACAAGCTTTTGGAGCCTCAATCCTCCTCCAAATGTTAAGAAGGATTGAGGCTCCGAAAGCTTGTGTTTTCAAATAAACCTGTTGGACTGTAACCTGGTGTCGTGTGATTTCTGACTCTTACCATTTATCAGCCTGCATGTTGTGGAGGTTTTCTGATATAAGCAAGGACCACTTCATTATCTGAACAGTCTGAATGGTATTGTGGAATCCTTAGTGAATAGTCTGATTTCTGGGCTTATGATGGAGAAAAGGTCATTGAAGCAGCTGAGAATGGTTGGGCCTAGGGCTCAACTATGAGTTATTCCTGTGGAAAGGCCCTCGAACTGTGACGATTGGTTTCCAACACCCACAATCTCTAGTTATAACTTGCTATAACTATTTATAATTATACTAGTGCTAGTTATGACTCCAACCAATGAAGAGCTTTCCCATGTTAACTTCAATTTTGCTGGTTCTCTTAGCTCGGTCACATTCTGTCACTCTCTCCTCATTCATTTGTCCATGTTTTGGCTAACATAGTCAGGAGGTCAGGACCTGAGTGATGCTGATGAAATTGAAATTGAACTTTGGTGAGCAGACTTTTGTACAAGTGCTCTTTGATAACACAGTCAATGAGCATTTCTCTCATGCTGATGATTGTAGGTAGACTGGTGTGGTAATTAACCAAATTTGACCTATCCTCCTTATGGACATGCCAAACCTGGGCAAATTTCAACAATGCTGGTGTAGTAACATTGCGGTTTGGTTTGGAGTGGTAGAATTACAAAATCTGAAAGCCCAATGTTTCCTTTACATCTTTGATAAGATTTACGAGCAACAAGTTTATAAATCAAAGAAGGCATGTATCCAAAATCGGAAACCTGCATTACTGATGAGCAAGATGGAAAAAAGTAATTTAGTCACATACTAAGACTACAGTGCAGGAAGAAGCAAGTGTTACTTTTGGATTCCCCAGGGCACAAGTTTGACAGACCTGTGTCTCTGGGCATGGGTAACTGATTCAGACAGGCAGATCTGGGAATCTAATGGATGGACGGCGTTGTCTCCAGATGACTAGAGGAAATCACATGACAATGGGTAGGAGTACTCACAATGCAAGACAATTAATTCAGTTCACACCGTCGAGTTCTGAAGAAGGGTCGCTCGACCCAAAATGTTAACTCTGATTTCTCTCCACAGATGCTGCCAGACCTGTTAAGCTTTTCCAGTAACTTCTGTTTTTTTGGTGCAGTTAAATTGACTGATGGCTTGAAATTATGGAGGTGAGGAGAAAGATTTGCTTTGTGGAGGCAGCCCCAATCATGCAAAAAAGATTGATAAGGATTTGAATCTGAGTGGACGAGGAATGGAAGCTCACTGTAGGCAAATTTAAGATCTCTCCTGTTTAAGACTGGAGAACGTGTGAAAATGAAAGGACACAGAGGGAAGCTGAAACATTCTATGGTGTTAATTGGCCCAGTCACTTACTGTGGATTCTAGGGGGTGATGATCATTTTTTAGGGGGTTTAAATGTCTAAAATTCATGCTGAAACTGGAGGAATACCTTGGTTAGGCTGCAAGTAGAGTTGTACCACCTTGGGTTCTTGAAGGAAGCACCCAAGAGGCAAACCCATTTAATCCCTATTTGCTGTGGTTTGGCGAAGAGGAGCTGGATGTCAGAGGAGGAGACGTGACAAAAGCTTTAATAAGTGGTGTAAGGAACATAACAGATGCATTCACCAGGAAAGGAAGATGACAATACGGTTTTGTGATTTAGCAACTGACATGTACACACAAATAAGGAGCAGTTTGGGCTGTAGCCAGGCTGAGGCATGTACCCTGCATGCATTTAAACCAGTGAATGAAGCAACGCAAAGATGAAAAAGGTGGATTAGACTGAATGGACTTGAAGGTCCCTCCCCAATTATTTCTTTTAATTTACCCTTTTGACTGCCTGCGCCAAATCCCATTTATTGATCAGCTTCTGTGCTTGCTGGCCTACGGTGGTAATGCCTTGGTTCTACAATTCTTATCCATCCTTTCAAATTCCTTGGTGGATTCGCCCATCCCTATCACTCCAAACACCTGCAGTCTTGCCTCCCTCCAATTCTGGCTACCTGAATTGCTTAATTTTAATTGCTGTGCCATCAGTGAGCTATGCCTTCAACTGCCCTCTGCCCTGAGCCTTGGAACCTCCACCCTAAACCCCTACACCTCTCTCACCGCTTCACTAAGATGTCTCTTAAAATATGCATCTTTTGCCAAGCTTTTAGTCACCGACTGATAAAGGAAAGGGTTTTTTTAATATATTCAAGGCACTGTTTGAATACAACATAGCCTGTGTGCAGAAATGCTTTAAACTTCAGGCTGTATAAATTGTAGTTTGAATACGAATTTGGCATAAAATTAAACAATTATTAAAAAGTGCTCATTATCCTGAACCTGGTCATTGGTAATGTGTGTTCTTTTCTCTGTGGTCAGAGTGCTG